AGTTTACACGTTTAGTTGTATTCATTCATGTTCTAATGTCTATTGGTTCTTTTGCATTCATGAACAGAGAGAGGGATGAGCTGTTAGCCAAAAAAAAGGAAGAAGAAAGCCAAGCAATTGCAGTTTCTTCATGTCCTTGTGGCATTAGTCAAAAACTGAATCAGCTTGCTCATTCATTAGTTACTTCAAAGCTTGGTCTTGATAGTGAACCAGCTATTTCAGTACTGGTATTTATGTCGTGTAAATGCTATTTTGAACATTGAATCATCTTTCAATTATTAGATACTGTATTAAGCGCTCCTTGATTCTTGTTTTGGCAGGAAAAGTTCAAGGAACAACTCATGGTCATATCTGACTTTGTGAAGGAAATAGAGGTATCAGAAAAAGCAGAAAAGAGATTAAGTGCAGCAGCAGCTGGAGAAAAAGCAGCGCATATACAAAGACTGAAGAGTGGATTCAGAATTTGCAAGCCACAAGGGACTTTTCTTTGGCCAAATATGGTAAAAAGTAACAGCAGCCCTCAGGTTTTGGTCCAAGTTGAAGTCCCAACCCCACCTTCAGTGTCATCCTCCAGTGCCTCAGCTCCCCTTCAGTTACTGCCATACCAACACTATCCTGGCTCCCCCGTCAAGCCTCTGGCGGAGAGACGTGCAGTTGCAGTGACCGTCTCCACCACATCCAATAGCCCAAATTATGAGGATGGTGCCATGCCAAGTGTGAGTATTATAGTATCATTTTGTGTCACCCTTTTGATTCAATTTCATGATTGATCATTCTTCCATGTGAATTATATTAATTTGAATTCTAAATGCAGCTTTTGCCAGGTAATTATGGAACAAGAAATTAAATGTGAAGATGGGAATAGAGCTTATTTTGGAGAGGTTTCTGATATTTGATAACTTCACTTTGTTGCATTTACCCTGAGTAGTATGTTACAAATTAAGAAAGCAGGTAAAAGGACAAGATATATGTAGTTACCACTTGCAGCTGTAATCTTTTTTGGGAAAGACATTAATAGTAATATGTCTAGCTATCTGTGTGTGTTGATATTATTAAGCGAATTTCTGTAGTTCTAATTAGGATTTTTTTTTTTTTGCCAAAAAATGGACTTGACTAATTGATATTGTCCCAAATTTGAATTGAAGATCTTAAGCTCAATGGAAATTCAACTATTTATAACCTAGCCTCGAAAATATTGGTTTATAATGGTAAATTATATCTTGTGCTTCTCTATGTAAGTATATATTAAATATTATTCTTAATTGCTTACTTAATATGTAATAAACAGTTACATTCTAACATTTTCGCACACTTATCTCAACACTCCGCACCGTATCTCATCCCATCTTAAGCAGGGATTGGTGTGGGAAAATCTAGGATGAAGGGCCACCTTCAGTTTCGCTCAACATCATTCTCATCCCTATGCACTCCAAACGAAAATGCCCGTAACTTTTGATGCAGAATTTCGCATTGAGAATCGTAAAATGCACAACGAACTTAACTTGATAAGCTTTGTAATGTTATATCATATGCCTTGTGAAAATCTCTACATCAAACTGGATAGTCTAATTTAACCACATACATGCTTCACCCGTGGGTTCTTGTCTTCTCTTCACTTCAACTTTAAGTCTTCATTTCTAGTCTTCAATGTCATTCCAAAACACCTCGTTTCTTCTCTTTTTCTTCTCGTTTATCTTCAACACATCTCAATCTTGGGTTTCCCTAAAACAAACAAAAAATAAATAAATAACTACTTCAAAATTATCATTTAGCTCTCTTGCCATTTTATGCTCTCTTTTTCTTTCTTATTGTCTAGCCTTATATTTTGAAACCTACTATTATTTTTTTAATGAATTCACAGAATGTTTGTAGATTTTAGAATTGACTTGGTTTGAGTTTCCATATCGATTGATTATGCATTTTTCTTCTTGCAAATTCTATTGTTGTTGTTGAGTCAAAACGCCACGTAACAATCCACGTCTAAAAAAGGTCAACGATCAAATGTAAAGAGATTAAATGAAGGTTGAAACTATTGTTGAATCACTGTCTAAATGGTTGAAGCACGTAAATTCGGAGCGTTTCCTATTAAGTCGAAGTGCTACCTACAGATGTCAGAGAAGAAGACGAAGCTCTTCACATAGAACACCGATACAAAGCTTCCTCCAACCGAGGCCTTGGTTCCCTGAAACTGAAACCGTCTCTTACAAGATTTGTAGACAATTTTTAGGAATGATTGATGTAACGTTTATAATAAAGAGTGTCAAGTGTTTCAGCCTTATGTATATGACGGTTGATCCGTTGTCATTGTATTTATTGTATGACAGATAGGTGATGTGAAGCCTTAGTCAAGGAGATGAGGTCACGTGGTTCTGATCCAACGAACACCACGTCGGCCAAAATAATATTAATGTAAAGTCTTTGTAAATGAAAAGAGGGATCTTGAAAAATCTGAAAAATAAATTCAAAACGGCCTTGTGAACATTTTTTCTACCAGACACATTTAAAAGGAAAAATTCTTCATATATCTTCTTGCTTGTTTCATATTTATTAGTTTGATCTCTAGCGGATAATTTTAGGCATTTGATTGATGATTGGTGATTGTTGCTAGCGTAGTCATCTTTCTTTTAACCCACCGATGCTCGAACATTTGTATCTTATGTTGTGAAGTATCTCCCGTATTCACGTTTTCCTCACTTCCTTTCGGTGCTCCGATCAAAACGCACCAATTTGCTTGAGTTGATGTGAGTGAATCCGACGTCTGTTATCCACGTCAGCGTCACGTTTTTCAGGGTCAACAATTATTATTATTATTATTATTATTATTATTATTATTATTATTATTATTATTATTATTTTGAATAATGCATTGTGCATCATTAAATTGCTTAGATGCAAAAGATTCTTTTTTTTTTTTTTCTCATTCTTCTTTTAA